GGTGACTACCAAGACTTACCTCCTTAATTGTATAGTAACAAAGTGTAGATTAAATTTTCTTATATCTAAAGAAGTGGATTTTCCTGGAGAATTCTGTGGTCTATGTGGTATTCTGCCCGGGTGCCCGTGCAGTTCCACCAGCAGAGGCTGGGCCACGGGCTCATCCTCTCCTGCCCCGGGGCCCGGCCTGAGCACGCGGTGGCCTGGGACAAGGACCGCCAGCCCCTGTACCACACCCAGTACCTGAAGGGCACGAACAGATCCATGCGGGTGTTCATTGACCACGGCCACCAGCTGCACATCCGCTTCGCCCAGCTGAGTGACCGTGGTACCTACTACTGCTGGCGGCAGGGCGCACAGGTGGCGGGCATCCGGCTGGCCGTGACATCCCGGGGGCGCTACCCACCCTCGCTCTCGGACCCCGAGACCCGCTCTGCCCTGCAGCTCGCCTTGCTCGGCTACCTGCTCATCATGGTCGTCTTTATCAGTGTCCACCTCTGTCGCTGCTGCTGCTGCTTACTCCGCAGTTGTCTGGACCTTGACCCCTAGCCCCGGCCTGGGCGGGTGGGTGCCAAGGGCGGGACGTGTGGTGAGGACGCGGGCAGCCCTGTTAGTCACCGCCCTCTCCCCAGGTTCAGGGTCTGTGGGCTGATGTGGGATCAAGGCGAGGCAGGATGTATCCGGGCGAGCACGCCCAGTGTCTCGCTCGGGCGGGAGAAGGGGAATAAACGAATACTGTCCAGTGCCTGTGCCATCGATGGTGCCTTTGGGGACTGCTGGGGCCCAAAGTCACAGGAGGAGGCAAGGCAGCCCCAGCTTCTAACAGCATCCCCTGGGAACAGCAGGTAGAAACAGCAGGTGTGGGGATGAAGGTCGCAGGGACAGGGACCCTGAGGGACTGTGAGAGAGCTGAGATCCAGGGCTCGGGCGGAGCCGCACAGGTGGGGTGTGAGGTGCTGAGATCTGACCAGGCTCGGCCTGCCGCCCCCACCCCTAGAAACAGACGAGAGACCTAGAAACAGACGAGAGAGAGGTCTTTTATTTCTCCTGGGCAGGTGAGGGGCGGCGGCAGCAGCCAGGAGGGGGAGGCAGCCAAGGTGCAGTGAAGGGAGGAGGGCCGTGAAGGCCCCGTGTCTTCACCCTGCATGTGCCTCAACTTCCCTCCATGAAGCAGGGCGCAGCTGGAATCCCGGCAGGGAAAAGGGTGCAGGAGGAAGAGGCCAGGAGGGGCAGGCAATGGAGGCCCTTCCCGCCAAGCAGAGTCATGGGCTCAAGACTCGGTGGCTGGAGGAGCGGGGTGGGGAGGGCCAGCGTGCACTGGGACCGCAGCCCCTGCTCGGTTCACATCAGGTGGGTCATGGGTCGCTTCTGGACTTCCCCAAATGACCCACGGGGTCCCTGACCACCTCCCCCCCACGCCCCCTCTGCAGGTGGGGCGTCCTCTGGGCTTGGCCTCTCTGAACCCGCTCCACCCTCTCCGTCCCTCTGCACGTGACTGTACTCCCAGTGCTCCCGCATCCCACCCCTACCTGGAGCTCAGGGCCTGCCAGGCCATGGCTCTGTCCCATGGGTGGCAGCACTATTCACTGCTTCCGGGTGGCCAGGGCCATCCCAGCAGGGCAGGTGTCCACCTTTTCTGGGGACGCCCCTCCCTGCAGCTCCCCTTTCCCCTCTAGCTGTAGCTCCAGCGACAGTTGCTATAACAACAGGATGTGACTTGCTGTGTCCCTGCCCGCCCACTTCTAACCAGGCCGCTGGCCTTTCCTCCTGACTGCTCCGTGGGAAGAACGCCTGTTAGTTTGAAGAGCCGGGTGCTGGGTGCTGGGTGCCATGCAGACCTAGTGTGGCAGTGACAAGCTGACGTGGGGCAGGAGGGTGGGGTGGCCGGCCACCAGGCTTAGCTGTGGAGGGCGTCTGTGCTCCTCACCGCTCGCCTCACATGGCGTCCTTGTGCTCCTGTTTGGATTCCTTAATGACCTGCAGGGACACAGAGGTGCGCACGCGCCCCTGAGGGGCTTGAGCAGGCTCTGGTCCCCAGCCAGCCCTGGTCAGCACCCAGTGACACTCACTGCCGATGCAGGAAGAGCTGCTGCCTCATTGGGATAGGAGCACCAGGCACCCTCTCCCCAGTTCCTTGGGTAGACAGAGCCCAGCTCTACAGCCTCAGAGCTTGGAGTCAACCCTGCCAACTTTGTAATTGCCCTTCCCTCTGCTAGGCTGGCGCTGGGCACCTGCGTCCGTGGGTGAGGGGAGACGCCCAGCCCCGCAGCAGGGCTGGGAAGGGAGTGGGGCCGGGACCTTCTCACCTCCCCATCACGCATCTCCACTGCCTTGACCACGATGTCCCTCTTGAGGTGTCCTTCCGACACAGACGTGGTGTCCAAGCTGGTCTCTGCGGGTGGAGCGGAGGTCTCTTTGGGCTCTCAGGACACCCGGCAGCTGCTCCGGCACCTGTCTCTCCTGCTGCCGCCCAGCCCGGTGCAAGGCCGTGCTGCCCAGTGAGGGGGCGTGGCCCCTTCCACCGCTCCTGTACCCAGCCCTGGCACCTGGCTTCCTGACAGCCCAGTGCACAGGCCAGAGCAGTGGGCAGGAGCTTCTCCCGCATGCCCACTCACAGCCCCACAGATGGCAGTGCCCTCTGGTCTAGGGGAGTGAGGGGCAATGAGCTCTCAGCCACTGTGCTCAGCACGCATAGGCTCCTCCCTGTGCCCCTGCCCTATCCCGTCTGGACCTGGTGATCCATGGTGACCAGTGTGGCAGCGTCACCCCTCCTGGCCAGCCACCTGACCTAGTACTGAGCTAGGGGTCCTGGCTTGTGGGCATCTATTCCTGAATATCCCAGCCCCAAGGACAGCGAATGTTTTTCTTATCTAAGTGCCATTTGAGGGCCACAGAACAATAAACGTAGCCCCCACCCCACCTTGAGAGGAAGATACTACATGTCACTATCACCGATGTCAGCTAAGGGCAGGAACAGGAAGCTTTGTTCCTGTGAGAGCCGCAGCCGCAACCCACCACTGAGGGCCGGGGCTGAGCACCGGCACCTTGGGGGCAGACAGGTCCAGCGGGCACCGCTGACCCGGGGTGGCTGGGCTCCCTGTGACACAGGAGGAGAGGCCAGGCTGGCGCTCGCTCCTGGCCCCTGGGCCCCTCATCTGGGCACCCATCAAGCACCACGTGATCAGTCCTTTGAGGTGACGCTGCAGTTGTGCCGGCTGGGTTGTGGCTGGTCACCAAGGCCCCTGGGAATTGTGGCTCTGTTCTGGTCCTCTAGGGGACACTTGGGAGGGGACTGGGGGACCAGGAGGATGGCCACGAGGCCCACTTCTCTCCGGCTGCAAGGGGCAGCTAACCGAGAGCCGGCGGCTCTGTCTATACCCTGCGGGGCCTGCACAGGAACAACTTGAATCGTGAGCCTTTTCAGGTATCTGGTGACTTTGTGGACCTCCCCTTCCGTGGCGCCTTTGCCTCCTGTAGCAACAAGCAGTTAAGAAACAGAAACACAAACCATCTGGGGTTGGGCTCACCTTTCGGGGTTGGGCTCCCACCCTGCCCGGTGGTGGAGCAGCTGGGAGTCCCCGTAGGGCTGGGAGGTGCTGAGGCTGGGGCTCCTGCCGGGTCTGAGGTCCCCAGCGCAGCCTGGCCTCAGCCCCAACAGAAACTGGGCAAGATGGACCTCACCCCCCACCCAGGGCCACCACTGACCTCGGATCTGCAGGTTGGAGAAGGCCTGCACTGGAATGGTGATGCTGGAAGACATAGTACCCAGTGAGTGGCCACCTGAGTCACCCAGGCCTGGCCCTGGGCTCCCAGCTTCCGAGCTGCAGAGCTGTAGGCTCGGGAGGCACAGCGCAGCCAGGGGGAGAGCGCGACACCAGGTGGGCTGGACTTACCGGTTCTCCTCTCCCTCCAGCAGCTTCCGGTAGGTGGCGATCTCGATGTCCAGGGCCAGCTTGACATCGAGCAGCTCCTGGTACTCCTGCAGGTGCCGGGCCATCTCGTCCTTGAGGCCCCGGCCATCCTCCTGCAGCCGGGCCAGCACCTCCTGGTAGGTGGACACCTCTCGTGCATGGCGCTCCTCCTGCTCACGCATCTGCCGCTCTAGGGACTCATTCTGTGGGCGATGGAGCCCGTGGTCCTCAGGGGCCTCCCCGTGGCCAGGGGTGGCTTGTCCCCTGCCCCACCCCAGCCCGCCAGGCTCACCGTGCCCCGCAGGGACTCCAGGTCACAGGTCAGGGCCTGCAGCTGGCGCCGGTAGTCATTGGCCTCGTGCTTGGCCTGGCGCAGCAGCTCGGCGTTGCGGGCAGCGGCGTCCGTGAGGTCGGCGAACTGGACAGGGAGGGTGAGACAGGAAGTCTCCGTCCCCTCAGCCTAACAGGCCCCGTGTTCCCCAGTGCCAGGCCAGGCCCCCTGAAGCCCCTCGCTCTCACCCCATGGCTGCCAGCCCTGCCCAGCTCCAGTGCCCCCACCTTCCCCCTGCCCATGAGGTCCCTGTGACGCTGGATTTGGGCCAAGCTGTGACTCCGTGGTCAGGTGCCCCTCTGTCCCTGACACATGGGAAACGTTGCATGGAGAACCCGAGCTCTCACCGAGAGAGGTGGGGCTAGAAACCCTTCAGAAGCCATGTGACGCTGAGCAAGTTACTTTACCTCTCTGGGCTTCAGTTCTTTTCTGACTAGAGTAAGGAGTCACAGCGAGATAGTGACCCAAGGCGCCGGGCGAGGCCATGCCCAGTGAGGCCCGCTGATAGCAGCAGGGCGGTGAGGACAAAGAGCACTCTGGGAGTCCTAGCGCCGGTGGCCCCTGGGAAGCTGTCCCCTTCTGTGGAGGACTCCCAGAGCCGCTGTGTACCTTGGAGCGGTACCACTGCTCGGCCTCCTGCATGTTGCTGGAGGCCAGGGCCTCGTACTGCGTGCGGATCTCTCTCAGGGCCGCCGTGAGGTCGGGCTTGGCCACGTCCATCTCCACGTGGACCTGCTGCCTCGCCAGCTGCTCCTGCAGCTCCTGCAGCTCCTGGCCAGGGAGGGAGAAGGCGTGGGGCCTTGGGACGTGGGCACAGCAGTGGCCCAGCATCCACTGCCTTCTGCCTGGTATGGCCAAGGGACAGGGCGTGGGGTGCATCGTCCTCTAGGCTGGACAGGAGGGTGCAGGTGCTGGACACGCACCTGTGACCTCATGAGCTGTGACTGTCCCTGGGCCCCAGATGTCCTGGATCTGAGCCAGGCCTCGGCAGGATTTTTCATGTTTATGAGTGGCTTTTGTCATGATGGAGGAAATGGAGCCAGAGCCGCTGATGGCGGGAGGTGACCTCGCGTCCTTCGGGCTCTCTGGGCCTTGGCCCTGTCCGTGAGAGGAGCAGAAGGGCCCCTTCCCGCCGGCTGGTGTGCGGGGCAAGGCAGCCTCACGGCCTGTGCTTCTCCACAAAGGGGTGGGGTCGGGCTGCTGGACGCACCTGTCCCACCCTTTCTCTCCTAGTCTCTCCTGTCTCTGAGCCTCTCTGTGCCTCTCTGTGCCTCTGAGGAGTCTCTCCCTGTCTCTGGCTCTCTTCCCGAGCCTCTCGGTCTCTTGGTCTCTGGCTCTCTCTATCTCTGGGTCTGTCGTCTGTCTCTGGCTCTCTGTCCGTCCTTCCTTCCCCATGGCGCTCCCTCCACTGTCACAGCCTCACCTCCTCATGGACCTTCCTCAGGAACCGGATCTCCTCCTCCAGGGACTCAATTTTCCTCTCCAGGTCCAGACGGGTCAGGGTGGCATTGCTGGCCTCCTGGGGTAGGAAGGTTGCTGCTGTGCTGACCCCAGCCTAGGCCTCTCTGTATCGCGGGGGCTGCCCAGGACCCCGCTCCTACCTGTCTGCAGCTGGCCAGGCTGTTCTCGGCCTCCAGCCTCAGGGCAGCTTCATCCTGGAGCCTGGGCAGGCGGATGTCTGTGGGTCCAGGCTTTTCCGAGGACCCCGTCCCCACCCATTCCCAGGCCCAGGGAGGGAGAGGGGGAGAATCTCAGAGCCCAGGGGAGTGGGTGAGGATTTGCCTCAGCTCCTGGGCTGGGCACCCCCTGTGCAGCCAGGCCCTGGGGTCTCCTGGATCCGGGTGACCACAGGGTGGGTCCGAATTCCACCTCTGCCTCCCAGCCATGCAGACCAGTTTGGCTGGAGGAGGGTCAGAGGCTGTGTCCAGACACCCAGCTCTGCACCTAGCCTTCCTGCCTGCTCCTTGGGGACCCTGCTTTCTCCACTGCCGCCCCGGTTTAGGGGAAGGGACCCCAGCCCAGTCACCATGCCCAGGGGTCCACACAGCCAGGAGGGGCTGGCCTGGGTGGGGTCTGACAGCTCCTGGCCCCGCTCCCTCGTCCTCACTTCTGCCGCAGGGTGCCCAGGTCCTGGGCCAGGGTGTCACGCTCCACCTCGAGCCGGGCACTGCTCGCCATGAGCTGGTCCAGCCGCAGCCGCAGCTCCCGAAGCTCGGCCTGGTAGACACCGGCCAGCCGGCTGGGCTCTGCAGCCCACAGCTGGTTCATCTCAGCAGCCAGGGCCTTGTTCTGCTGCTCCAGGAAGCGGACCTTTTCGATGTAGCTGGCAAATCGGTCATTGAGCTCCATCATCTGGGCCCGCTCGCTGGCCCGTGTCTGCTTGAAACCTGCGTTGAGAGCCCCAGCCTGCAAGAAGTCCAGCCGGGCTGGGAGCGGAGGGGACACCCAGGCCAGGCCAGGGCGGGGGCTGGACCCCAGGCGGCGCATGGGCCCCAGGCCCCCAACCACTGCCTCTGAGGAGGAGACATAGGAGCGGCGAGCAGAGGACACGAGTCTGCGCTCCATGCTGCTGGCCCTCTGGCTCTGGCTGCCAGGGCTTTATGGAGGCTGGGCCAGGCTGACAGTGCCCAGGCTGCCCAGCAACGCCCCTGGCATGGCCCACGGGCTGGGCCGGGGCCAGGCCCATGGGGTCGCTGTGCCCAGAGGCAGGGCTTCCCGTACACGAGCCCTGGCCTGGCAGGATTCTGGCTCTGGACTGGGACCAGGCACAGGGAGACCCTCCCAAGAAACTGTGTCCCTAGAGGTCTGGATGGCCTCGGACCTGCCTTTTTTTGCTTTGCTGTACTGGAGATTGAACCCAGAGGTGCTCTATCATTGAGCTGCATCCCCATCCCTTTCCAAATCTTTATTTCGAGACAGGTTGTAAGTTGCCAAGGCTGGCCTCAGATTTGCTATCCTCCTGCCTCAGCCTGCCAAGTAGTTGGGATTGTGGGTGTGTGGCCCTGCGGCCGGCCCCACCCAGGGCTCCCCCAACTTAGTGCCCCTCCAGTGCCGCAGAGGCAGAGTCTGGAGAGGGACGCTCATGTTCCTGGTGTCCTGCTGAGCCCAGAGCATGCCTGCCTCCCTTTCTTGCTCTTCCCCCCTTCTCTGGGGTTCTGTGCTGGGCCCGGACTGCCAGAGGATGAACCCAGGTCCCTGGATGCCCCAGTAGGGTGAGGGGCAGCTTCTCCTTCCTCCTGCCGGCTCCCTGCACACCAAACCAGGACCCGACATAGAGTGGTTATGTTGAACGGGTAGTGCTGGTGGGATCGTTCCTGTGGCACCATCTCCCCGGCCACCCCTCCCTCTCCTGCTCCTGGACATGAGGGGCAGGGGCAGGGTGGTGTCTGGGGACCCAGAGCCGCTGTTCAGTCCAGCAGAAGTGCGAGGTAAGGGGGTGCAGGTGGCCCTGCCCCCCGGGGAGCCCTCAGGTCCCACCCAGCGCTTCAGCCGCCTGTGCCCTGGGGATTCTGAGAGCATAGCCCTGCGCGCGTGCACACCCTGCCCTTCCCTGCTGAATGGGGCCTGGTGCCTCAGTCAGGCATCCCAGGGCCAGGGCAGCCCCGGGGGCAGCACCACTTTTATCCCAGGACCCTGTGACTGTGAGGCGCTCCATGTCCTTCCCGGAATGAGTCCAAGGGAGGCCGGGGCTGTGGGAAGCAGGCTGTGTGCCCACCCGGGCCATTGTCTGTGTCAGGCCAATCACTGGCCAGTGCCAGGGGAGCTGTGGGCCCGGCCCAGCGTTGCCAGGCTCAGCGATGGCCAGTGCCTGTGGAGCTCACCCAGCCGCTCCCACCCCAGCCTGGTGAGGCAGCAGGGCAGCCTCAGCCTTAGGAAGAACAGGGGCCTGGGGGGGGGAGCAAGAGAGCAAGGGCACAGGCTGACAGGGGAGGGCCCAGCCCAAGCGGCTCCGTCCCTTGTCCATCCCCCGACTCACCCACACTTCACATGGTCTCCCCGACTCATAGCTACTATTTTATTACATTGTAACAACAACAAAAATAATACAGATAAGCAATACAAAAGAATTTAATTATCCATAATTTTGCCACTTGGAGATAAACACTACCAGATTTTTTCCTAAATGTATAAAATACTTTTTTCAAAATAAGCTCATGCTGTAGAAATTATTTTGCAATTTGCTTTTCTGACTCAACAATCTGCTGTGAACATCTTTCCACATCGGTATATATTTATCTGTGCCGTCCCTGTCACAGCTGCCTGGTTTCCACTGGATGCGTCCCTGTCACCAGGCCCGTGGTGGGGTGGTGGCCCATCTTCTGCTGTCCCCCAGGTGACACAGCTGCTGGGAGTGGTGGAGCAGTGGCCCCGGCCTCCAGCTTGCCTGTGCCCCTGCTGCTGTCCCCACGCTGGAACTGCCAGCCAGCTGAGGCCCAGGCCTGGACACTACAGCTGTGCTGCTGGATGGGCGCAGACACCAAGCGTGGCCCACTTCCCCCAGGGGTGGAGCATGGTGACTTCTGTGTCCCATCGGAATCTGCCAGGTGGCCCCTGGTTAGCGGTCAGACCCAGCCCACCCAGCCTCAGCCTGCACAGGCATGGTGCCTGCCCACTCCGGCCCAGCGGTGGCTCCCTCTGCTCCCCACCCCTCACCCAGTGCCTGGCACAGATGCTGGCGAGCAAGTTGGGGAGATGAAGAGGCTTCTGTCCAAAGCGGCCACTTTGGCCTGCACCCGCAGCCCTCCCCGAAGGAGGGACTGAGCCCCACGGTCACTAGATGGCAGAGCGGAGCTGAGAAAGCACGGCAGGGCGGGCGGCTTTCTTTCCTTTCCCTCCCTCCCTACTGGGCATTGACACAGCAGCACGGAGGGCATCCCCAGCCCTTGTCATAATTTTATTTCAAGACAGGGTCTTGCTAAGTCGCCCAGGCAGCCCAGGTGTCTGTCCCAGGTTTTGTGTGCTGCCCGTGAGCACTCCCTGCACTGACTTCATGGACTCCTCTGGCACCGTCTTCCGGAGGAGAGCACAGTCCTGGCTCTTCAGCGGCTGTGACTTCATGGGTGACTTCAGGGCCTCCTGTCTCCATCTCTGTCAGGGATGCCCACCTCTACAATAGCTGTGGAAACAACACAGCGGGTGCCTGTGTTTATTTTCTGGTGCCGGGGACAGAACCCAAGGTTTCCTGTGTGCCAGGGAAATGGTCATCACTGAGCTGCATCTTGACATCTCCTTTTTGGGGGGTTACTGGGGATCCGGCCCTTGGCTTGCCAGGCAGGCTTTGGAACTGAGCCCAGTCCCTGGGTTTTTTGTTGTTTGAGACAGGGTCTCACTATGTAGTTGAGACTACCCTGGAACTCGCTACTTAGCCCAAGCTGGGCTCAAACTCAAGCGATACTCCTGCCTCAGCCTCCCAAGTGTTGGGACTACAAGGATGAGCCACCACGCCCGGCATAGCATCTTCTTTCTCTGGTCTTGCTAGGTTGCCCAGGCTTATGGACTGGGGACCTTTTTGCTGCAGCCTCCTGGTGACTGGGATGACAGGGTGTCACCACGGCTGCCGTCACAGCTTTTGTACACCTTCCCTGTGCTCCATTCACGTCCATAACCCTGAAGCGGCGTTGGTCTGCGGAAGGGACTGGCAGAGTCACCAGGACAGAGGGGCAGTGGCTGGTGACAAGGTGGGATTGGCATCTCTGTCCCCATCCTGGACACAGGCCTTCAAGAGGCTCCCACTGCCGTCCTGCGGGCTGGAGACACCACCTCCTTCCTGTGCCCCCTGCATGTAGGGGTCACCTCATCCCTTTCCTGAGCATGGGGCCGCTGTGCAGGGTTAAGCTCGGCCTTTCTCCCTGAGCCCAGCTGGTCAGTCGCTTCCCTTGCTCTGCTCTCTGCTTGTCCACCATTCTGGGAGGGGACAGTGAGACGGGCCAACAAGACAGCTGGCGGTGACCGGTTTCCAGCTTGTCCTCAGCACGGGCCGGGGGTCCTGGGGGAGACTAGGAAACCACCATAGCCCCCAGGCCCGGGGTCCCCCAGGCCCTCATCCCTGCCTAAGGGCACCACCACCCGGATGCTGGCTGGGAACATCACCAGCACAACCGCTAGCAAGTCTGCTCCTGGGGAACATGGGGAAGGACCCCAGCCCAGGGGCCGCCTCTCCCTCAACAGCAGTCAGTGCTCTTGGAGGGTTTGGCTCCTTTCATGAAGGGCCAGGTCCCGCCCCTGCCTGCGTGAAGGGGCTGTTTTGTTCTGCTCACAGCTCCCAGGACCAAGCTGGTTCTACAAACAGCAGATTTGACTCCAAGATGGGCCTAGGTGAGGTTGGGGCATGTGGGGAGCTAGGGTGGGGCCTGAGGAGACATCTGAGCCCCAGGGACGGTGTCAGGCCAGCTGGACACTGTGCCAGGGGTGTTGATCACCACCTCAGGGTGACTGTCCAACCCACAGGCTCCTGACAGGTCAGCGAACCCCGCAGCTCCTGCCAAGCTCAGGCTGTGGGCCCGCAGATGCCTGCAGCTGGCTAACCCTCAGGTTGAGGGTGTCACTGGCCGGCGCAGAGGATGTGCAGTTCATAGGTCACCTGAGACTGTGGGCTGCACCACGGAGCCACAGATGTCTAGAGTGAGCCACACCAGGAGCGTGCTTGTTGGGGTGACCTCTGTGCCCCTACCTTGAACCCCGCATGCGCCCTGCCTGCTGCCTCTGTGCCTGGTGCGCTGACGGCCAAGGGAGGTTTTGGGGCCCCAGAAGTTAGTCTGCATCCTGCCCAGGCTAGCAGGCGCTGGGGTCGGGGCTGCAGATATGAAGCTGCCCCGGGCACAGCCTTGCAGGGGAAGCAATAGCAGGATGAATGCAGGGGCTCCTGCTGCTTCCGAAGGCAGGGACCACCTCGCTGCCTCTCCCTGGAGCCCGTCTTCCTTATTCACCTCTTCCAGCAGGGAAGCTCTGTGGCAGTTCTGGCCGGGGTGGTGCTGCCCTTACTCCTCTGATGTGGTCAGGACCAAGCAGACACAGTCGGCGGGGAGCTGCTCCCCAAACGGCTTGGTTGCCCACCCGAGACTGGCCCTGTGCTAAATGCCCTTAACATGTTTGTGCTCAGAAGCAAATCAACACAGGCTCCCGTAATCCTGTTCAGTTAACCTGTTCAGCCAGCGCTGCCTTTGCAGAGAGGGGAGCTGTGTGGACCCCGCGATCCCACATCCAGCTGGGGCCTGAGGGTGGGTGGCCGGATCGGGGAGGCCACACTCACAGTCCCTTGAGGTCTAAGGGTGGAGGTGTCGCTCCCTGTGTAGGTACCAAAGGTTTATTAATCACTGTGGGAAAGATACACCTGTGTCCACTTGTGTGCACGTTCTATGTACAGACGGGAGATCGGAGTACAACCCGTGTTCACCGGCATTTACACCCAGGAGGCACGAAGCTGACCCTGCACACAGACGATGGCCCTCCTCCGTGGAGGGAAGCCGGGCTGAGGACGCCCTGTTGGGTCACCAGGAGCCATGCCAGGCCCCCAGCACCTGCTCCCCACTGCAGCATCCGGGGTGGACTCAGATGGGCACGGCAGACAGCACCCTTCAAAACTGCCCACACTGACATGCCAGGATGTGCTGGGAGGCTGAGCGCCACCTGCTAGGGAAGAGGGTGGTAGTGGAATCATCAGGAGTGGGGTGGCAAGGACGGGTGCTGACACCAAGTGCCAGGCTGGGTGGCAGCAAGGGGGTCAGGACACCCGGGTGATGCGGACTCCAGCCCTCGGCGGCTTCTCCTGGGTCTTCAGCCTCGAGGGTGGCTCTGTGGGCCGTGGCAGGGAGGGGAAGAGAGGAGGGAGGTGTGAGGCTCTGTCCTCGGCCCCCTAGGGCCCTCTCCAGTCTTCGGTGTCCCCTCTCACTTTCGGCCCCCTCCCGCTCCTCTCCCCTGGGTGGTCACCTGGGATGGCGAGGGGCCCTGCTGGCCTCTTCAAGGAGCTGCTGGGCAGGCGGGCAATGCGGCTGCGGCCCCGGGGGACAGAGGAACTACAGGAGGCAGGGAGGTCACAGCCATGCCCAGGACTGGGGGCACATGGGCTCGAGGTAGAGAAGAGGGGACAGTACTGGTGCTGGTTTGCCGAGTGCTAAATGCGCCCCTTCACCTCCAGGAGGTGACAGCAGCAACAGGTAAGGACCCAGCCCTGCCCCAGACCTCACAGCTTTGCTGGGGACCAGACTCATCCCCACACCCACTGACCCTCAAGCACCTTCCCTGCCTCACAGCCTGGGCCTCACCTCACTGGGTGCCTCTTCTTGCAGGCTGAGGTCCTGGGCAGGGAGGATGCAGGCTTGGGGCCCTGCTCAGTGAACAGGAACTCTGGTCTACTGGGGAGAGGGTGAGGGAAGCCAATCAGGAGCGCAGACACGGCGACAGTCCCTCCACCCCTTCCTGGCAAAAGGCAGCTCTGCTCGCGGTGCCCTCGGCGGGCTGACAGCTGAGAGACAAGGCGATCTGGAGGACACCAGTCACCAATCTGTGGGCGCCTGGGCACCGGAGTTCAGACCACCCTGGACTCTACCTGCCCTGCTCCACACTGGCTACTGAAAGCTGCTGGGGGCCATGGCCAGCTCGGGGTGTGGTGGGCACTGTGACTGCTTGCAGCCAGGCCAGGCCACCACTCACTGTTGGCCTTGGACTGTCTTGAGCTGGCTGCTGCCCCTCCCTGGCCAAGGTGGAGGCACCAGTGCCTTCTCAGGATGCTGTCCCTGTCCTTGATGCACCTGGGACAGAGCTGCTGGGCCTGGGCCCTGCTGAGGATCATATGGGCTTGGGCTGTGCATCCCGGGTCACAAGCTGGGTCCCCTGATGCCTGCGTAAGGAGGCGGAGTGGACCGGGAGGCTAGGCACTTGGGCCTGGGCAGTGCAGCCTAGATGGTGCTGTAGCTGGTAACAGCCATCCAGCTCCAGGAGTCCAGCACCCTCCCCTCCTGTCCCTTACCTACCCTGGCCCTGGGCATGAGACCCACCTGGGGACGCAGGGCTGGCCAGGCCCGTACTGTCCCTGGAAGCTGAGTGAGGGGAGCTCCTCAGAGAGGTCAAAGGTGGCATTGAGGTCGCGGGTGGGCAGGCCCAGGGATGGGGAACAGTTCTGCAGGGCCGAAGGGCCCAGGGGCGCCCGGCGTTTGATGATGGTGGCTGGGCAGAGGCGAGGGGAGTGGCAGGTCAGGGAGGCCTGGGCCGCCGAGGGGGTGCAGGGCTTAGGCAGCAGCCCCTGCCTCGGGCAGGGCAGAGAGGACTGGCGCTGGCGCTTGGTCTTCTGCCTCGGGGCCAGGGGACCATCGGACTCGATGGGGCTCGGTCTCCTCTTCTTCTTTGTAGGCTCTCGGGGCGCAGGGGCTGGGATGCTGTCGGGCCCCATGGGGAGGCCCAGGGTGTGTGTGAGGCCACTCTGTCGCCTTGCCATGGTCCGGGTCACAGGGCCAAGGTAGTCTGGAGACCCTGGCAGAGGGGAGGGAGAGGCGTAGACACTGGGGAGCCAGATGCCAGGCTGGAGGAAGCCCCCACCCGTGTGCCAGACTCCCACCCAACGCTGGAGGCCTGGATGCTGCTCAGAGGTGAGCAGGGCGGCACTCACGGGGCTCTGAGTACAGCTCCTGAGACGGAGGGGCCACTCCGGCCGGGCCTAGCATGCTGCAGCTCTTGGCCCCGGAATCGGCATCTGCTTCCTGCACCAGCTGCTGCAGGGTCTCCAGTTCTGCAGTCAGGTCAGGGGTGAGCAGGCCAGTGACCTGGAGCAGCGCATACTGCTGCTGGGCCAGGCGCAGCACCCGCAGGGCCAGCCTGGGATAGGACTTCCGTCACTCCGGGTGGCCGAGTCTTCACCCGACCCGGCCCCAGCTCCCTCCTCCTGGCCCCAGACCTGCTGGGCCCCGCCTGCCTTGACAAGAGCCAAATCCCAGCTCTGCCACACACTAGCTGTGACCCTAGGGGCAATGCAAGGTTCAGGTCAAGATCCCAGCTCAAACTGGGTGTGTGGGCAAACACCTGTCTTTTCAGCACCCTGGGAGGCTAAGGCAGGAGGATTCTGAGTTTGAGCCCAGCCTAGGTAACTTAGTCAGTAAATTGGGGGTGGGGGGGGCACCAGGGATCAAACTCCAGACCTTGCGCTTGTGAAGCAGGCAACAGAACCACTGAGCTAAATCCCCAGCCCAATGAGTGAATTTTAAAAAAAGAGCGAAGGATGACACTCAGTGAAAAGCTCTTGCGTTTAATCCCCAGTATAAAAAGGAAAAAGCAAGGACCAGGGATTTAGCTCAGTGGTGCCACCACCTGCCTCGCAAGTGCAAGGTCCTGAGTTCAATCCCAGCACCAAAAAAGGAAAAAACAACAAAAAAAGAAGTGTTCAATAGGTTTATAACACGTATGGGAGACAGAACGACTGTTTTGTTTCCTTCCTGTCAGACCTCAGCATGAGATTCCATATGAAGAGAGGACTTCGCAACTCGAAAAACCCCTGAAAAACCACTGAAACGTAAGATCTCAAATCTGCTCAGGGACCAGGGAGTCCAAGATTCTGAAGTTGAAAAGAAACTATTTTTGGCCGGGTGTGGTGGCGCACACCTGTAATCCCAGCAGTCAGGAGGCTGAGGCAGGAGGACTGCTGTGAGTTCGAGACCAGCCTGGGCTACATAGTGAGTTCCAGGTCAGTCTCAACTACATAGTGAGACCCTGTCTCAAAAAAACCAAAAAACCAAAAAACAAACAAACAAACAAAAAGAATCTATTTTTGATGTGGCTGTTAGTATCGCCAAGTATGGAGATGCTCTGGAAAGTTCTGGAATGTTCTGCAGCCCCTGGCTCTCAGGTTCCCCTGTCATCTCCAGGAAAGAGAAGAAGGGGATGCGATCCCACATCAGGACCAACCACAGGCAGAATGGAAATGGGGCCGTGGGTCCTCTCCGCTTGTGACAGGGACCTGGACAGCATTGAGTGTCCGCAGGGGGAGCTGGTGCTCAGGGTGGGCAGGGCTCACACCCTGTCCTGCCCCTGGGCTCGCGGGTGCAGAACATAATGAGCGCTGATTATTCAGGCCACAGCGTTTCTGCTGAGTCGGGAACAGGCACTCTTGACAAGAAATAAAATTAAACCAGCCTTCTGTCCAGAAGCTTTAAATACACTGCCTGGTGCGCGGCAGCCCAGGAGGAGGCCCGGCACAGCCTGGAGCAGGCGGGACCGGGAGGGGAGCACAGCCCAGCCTGCCCCCAACACAGTGCTGCAGCGGTGCGGACACTGCCGCACAGGTGGGGGACCACGGGCGACTGAGAAGGACCTGGTGGAAGGCAGGAGAGGAATATACCAGGCAGGGACTGATAATGACCAGGAAGCAGTGTCTGCAACACCTCAACCCCAGCTCCCACCGCGACCCAGCAGCAGTGAGAAGACACTCACCACCCAGTCTGGTCCCCGTGAGGCTTGGGCCCTGAGGCTGGCGAGGGTGGCAGGATCAGACCAGGCATCCTGGAATCTGAGCATCTGGGGCTCAGCTCTGGCACCTGGGCTGGAACCTGAGGAGGAGGAAGGAGGAGGTTTAGGTGGCAGAGGCAGGACGACCTACTGAGCAGCCAGACCCATACACACAGAAGGCAGAGGCAGGCGCTGGGGAGCGAGGGAGGACGTCTGCTTCTTCTAGAGCCGCAGGCCGTTCTCCAGGCCTACCTTGGCAGGGCCTCCATCCTGGCTGCGTCCGGGCCGTGCCTGGTCTGCAGAGCTCCTTTCCAGGGCCTGCTCCTGGGCCTCTATCTCTGGGCTCTGGTCCTGTTGGGTTCCAGTCCCTGGGGGGAGCCTTGGGGTGCAGGGCTGGCTGGGGGTGCCGAGCAGTGAGAGGGAGCTGGGGAGGTGGAGGGGATGAGCTGGAGATAGGATGTGGGGGGAGGGGTTTCTGGATCCTGGGCGGCAGAGCCCACAGCATTCATGACCAAGGGCAGTGGCCAAGGGTTTGAGGAGACACTGAACCACACCTGGGAGGCTGAAGCAGGAGGATCACAAGTTCAAGCCCGACCTGGGCAAGTTAGTGACTTAGTTGACACCCTGTCTCAGATAAGAAATGAAGAGGGGGCTGGGCGTGGTGGCACACACTCCTGTCATCCCAGCACTTGGGAGGCTGAGGCAGGAGGATCACTGCAAGTTCGAGACCAGCCTGGGCTACACAGTGAGTTCCTGGTCAGTCTCAACTACGTAGTGAGACCCTGTCTCAAAAAAAACCAAACCAAAACAAAACAAAGAAACGAAGAGGGATGGGGCTGTAGCTCAGTGCAAAGGCCCAATGCCATTAAGGAAAGGAAAGCGCAGTGACACCCACGTGGCGAGCGAGTTCACCTCTTCTCAGCCGGTGGTCTGGGGACCCTTTCCTCATGGCACACAGTGCCTCCAGGCGGGGCCTGGCTCCCCACTCCAGCCCGCGGCAGGACTCACCAACTCGGGGCCTGCGCTGTCACCTCATACTCCTGCAGCTTTTTCCTCAGGGCGGCCACCTGCAACAGCAGCAGCCCAGACCCAGCCAGTGAGCGGGAGGACGGCGCACAGGCCCCGCTGGCACCCGGCCCAGTGAGCGGCCACTCACCTCAGCCCGCAGCTGCTGACAGACGCTGACGTAGTGGCTGATGTGACAGTCCAGGGTGACCACGTTGCTCTTCAGCTGCGAGGGGCAGGGGCCAGCAGTGTCTACTGGGAGCCCTGACCCTGGCAGGATACAGGGGCCAGGCTTCCAGAAAGGAGGAGGACCCACACCCAGGCTGTCATCAGGGAGCCGCGTGGGTGCTCACGTGGCTTTGATGAAAATGTCCTGCTGCCTCAAGCAAGCCTGAACCCTGCGGTAGCTACTGGCCATGCTGCGACACCCCTGCAGGCCTCCCTCTTGGAGACCTCCTGCCTCTGCCCACCGAGTCTTCCCAAAGGCAGGAAAATGTTGCTCCTATCACAAAGATCCTCCCGAAGAGGGGCTCTCGCTGCGTCTTGCCTCTCCCTGGGGACACTGAGGCGCTGTCTTGGCCCTGTCCCTGGCCTTCCGGGCTGTGGCCCTGCCCAGACCACCACGCCCAGCTGCTACACACCGTAAGCCGGATTTCCTTGGCCCGGTCGGCGTACTTGAGGGTGTTGTAGGTGTCCTCGTAGGCCAGGTCTGCGGGGCTGATGTTGGCGATCATCACGGTGCGGCAGTTGCCCCCAAGGGAGTCCTTTAGCAGGCGGGTCAGCTTGCTGTCCCGGTAGGGCACGTGTGCCCTGCGACCCTGGGTGGAGCAGGGGCCAGGCTGGCAGACAGGGCCCAGGCTTGGGGCCAGCCATGGGTTCGGGTGCTTGTCCAGTCCCAAGCCAGGGCAGGTGGGGTCCGGTGTGCACCTCACCTTGGCGTCGGCCAGGGCGTTGAGGACGCTGATGAGGGCCAGCAGGGAGCGATTGATGTTGGCCCCCTCGCGCAGCCGCTCGCCCCGGGCGTGGGTGCTGGATGCCCGCTCAGAGCCTGCCAGGTCGATTAGGCTCATCTTGGCCACCCGCAGGGTCTGCACTGGTCCCGGCACGAGGTTCTGCTGCCTCACGAAGACCTGGGCAGGTGGTGGGGTGAGGGCGGGCAGTAGATGGGGCCAGGGGCACCTGTTCCTGGGTTCACCTAGCCCTGCTCACTTGGAAGATGGCGTGGGAGCGGGAGGATGTGGCGTTGGCATCAGTGGGGTGCTGGGTGCGGCTACGGTTCCCCTGGCTCAGCATCTCCAGCAGCTGCTTGGCTGAGGCAGGCTACGGGGGACAGACAGGGGCCAGCTGGTCAGGCCACTGCCACCCCGCCGGGCTCCCCGCTGCCGGCCCTGCCCTGCACCTGGTGGAAGGACAGGCCCTGCACCACCACGCCCTTGGTGGAGTCCTCGCAGATCTTCAGCGGCCCCTTGGGCTCCAGCAGGTCGTGGATCTGTTCATTGTAGACCTGGGGAGAGGCAGGAACGGCCTTGGGGGGTGCCCGGTACCGACTGGGTACAGGCTGGGGCTTTGCCTGCCTGGGCCCGGGGTCAGGAGTGGGGAGGGCAGGTCCCCACCGCACAGTCCCACCCTGTCCTGCCCCATCTCAGCCTCACCTCCAGGTAGCTGACGGACACCTCGAATCTATTCTCCTCCTGAAGGGCCTCCAGACGCCGATAGAGCTCCATGGTGGTCAGGTACATGATGCCGGGGTCCCCATCCTGGCCCAGCATGGTGTGTGTCTTCCCAGCACCGGTGGCCCCGTAGGCAAACACTAGAGAGCACAGGTAGAGGGTGGCAGTGGGCCTTTGCTCCTGCACTGTGCACGTCCTGTGCCCACTGCTGCTGCTGCCCGGCCTGTGCCAGCCCTTGCGCCTCCATCCCAGGCACCGCCCCACGCCCTTCCTCTTGGGGAGCATCGTCCCCAAGGCTCCTCCTCTCTCTCACCCGAGCAGTTGTAGCCCTGCAGGAAGCTGTCCAGGATGCCGCGGGTGGTGTGCTGGAACACATCCTGCTGCGTGGCCCCCTCCGCGAACACTCGGTCAAAGACAAACGTCAGGTCTTTGCCCTTCTTCTTCGGGCCGTCGTGGGTGCCGCCCCACTGGAGGGCAGGGAGGCCCCTGGCAGGCTCCTCGGGGTCGAATACCAGTACCTGGTCATCCACCACCTGCACCACAGGCGGCCGCTGGCTCTCCAGCTCCCGAGGGGTGGGAGGCCGCACCCGCACCACCACCCGGACCACGCTGTCCCCAGCCGCTGTCACCATGGCAAAGCCTGCAGGAATGGGACGGAGAGAAGGTCCGAGGTCTGCTCTGCCCCCTCCAACGGGGCTGAGTGTGGGCACCAGCACCCCGCTTGAGACCGGCACATCCTGTTCAGACGCCTCTCTCGGCCCGGTCCTGGGCTGTACCCTGTCCCTCTGAACGGGGTCTGCTGTCCTGCCAAGGCCACCCCAGCCCCTCCCACATTCCCTAGCCCCTGACTGCTGGAGCCCTGCAGGGGTGGGGATGGCCCTAGCAGCATCTGTCCAGCCTGCCTACTGTCCAGAGCTGCCTGACCGGGACTGGTCATGCTTTTTCTTTGCTCCAGTGCTGGAAAGCAGCTCCCCCAAAAAGCGGCACTGGGATTACAGCTGGAAAGGCAGTCAATTTACATATTTATTGTATTACATTAACCCTTCTAGGCAAGAACTCAACTCTTGCCTATTGGTTCAGATATTTTTTATGTCCCTCAAGATTTTATAGTTTTCTATCTTTTCAAGTATTTTTCCTAATTGTCCTTTTAATGTAATTCCCAAGTATTTTATGGATTTATTTGCTTTTATAAATGGAACACCTTCCCTGTCTCCCTCTCTGGCTGCTACCTGCTGGGGCGGAGAAGCGCGTCTGCATTTTAGGTATGTACTGTGTATCCACCACTCTAACTGCTCCTTCACTCCTTTTTTTTAGTTTTGTTTTTGTTTTTTGAGACAGGGTCTCACTATGTAGTTGAGACTGACCTGGAACTCACTATGTAACCCAGGCTGGTCTCGAACTCACAGCCATCCTCCTGCCTCAGCCTCTTGAGGGCTGGGATTACAGACATGCAGCCACCATGCCTGGCTACAATTCCAATTTTTTAAAGTTAGGGTTTCTTTGCTTTCTAAGTATACAATTATATATTAGAAAAGAGGAAAATGTTTACTTACCTTTTCATATATCTATATGTAAAAATACATCTATATATGTGTTCTTTGCTGCTGTTGCAGTACCAGGGATTGAAGCCAGGGTCTGCATACTGAGCTACATGCCCAGGCCTTTAAAACATTTTTGGAGACAGTCTCACTAAACTGCCAAAAGCTTGAACTTGTGATCCGCCTGCCTCAGCCTTCTAGAGTGCTGGGATGATAGGTATATGCCACCATGCCTGGTTTTATTCATATTCATATCAATTCTCTTGTGTCTAACACATTACAGTTTCTAGAACTCCTAAAACAATGTTAAAAAATAATGAAAATGGGGATGCTGATTTGTTTCTGATATTACAGGAAATGCTTCAGCACTTCACTATTGAGAAATTAGTTTGAAAGCTGGGAGTGGTAGCACATGCTGGTAATCCCAGCTTTTAGAAGGCTGAGACAGGAGGATTGAGAATTGGAGACCAGCCCGGGCTAGGTAGTGATTTTGAGGCTGGTTTGGATTGCATAGCGCGACACCCTGTCTCCGAAAAAAATAAGAAAGGAATAAATTAGTTTGAGACAAATACTCTTTATCATATCAGTAATTTATATTTTTATTTTATATAGTTGTTGTTAGGAAAGTGCAGAATTTTATCTCAATACTCTTTGAGCAGCTCCTGATGTTTACGGTCTCTTTTCCTGAGGGTACATCACTGGATATTATTCCTGGTATTAAACCAACCATGCATTCCTGGGAAAAACCCTACCTTGGAATAGGGAAGCTTTTTTTTTTTTGGTACTGGGATTGAACTCAGTTCCTTGGCGCTTGCAAGGCAGGCAGCGGAGCCACTGAGCTAAATCCCTGGCCCTGGAAACTTTTGATAATTAAACAGTCAAATATGTCTGGTTCTTATGTCATATTTGACATCCCTTTGTCAAGGTAATAAATGCTTTTATTATTTCTGCCTAATACCTTTTCATCTTACATTTAGGTTTTTACAGAGATGAATTTTTAAAAAATGACGTGAGCTTTCCCAACATTTTCTTTTCAATCAGAAGTGACTATCTGGAGATCGCTCGTGGAAGAGGGCACTCCTGCAACATGCAGGGCTGCGGGAGGCAGCTGGTCCTCACACACAGTGGGTCTCTGTCCCTGGGCCCTGTGTCCTGTGCCTCCCAGCTTCTACACGGCATCACCAAGTGCTCTTTCCTGGCTACTCCTGGTCATCCTTGTCTTCCTTTCTGATTTTAGAGTCCGCTTGAGAGCTCTATGAAAAATCCCGCTAAGAGTTTAATTTGGATTATCCTGAATTTATGGGTTAATATATAGACTCCGCATCTCTACAGCATAATGTCTTCCCACGGAGGGCTGCATTTCCCGATTACGCACAACTTTATAATCTTCAGTAAAACTCTAATTTTCCTCACAGGAGCCTCGTATATTTCTCAGTGGGTTTATTACTCATTATTGCACAGTCTTTGTTACACTATGAACAGGCTCCTGTTAAAGTTACATTTTCAGGTTAGTTCTCTTTTTGCCAGGATACGGGAAAGCTTGAGATTTCTGCTGCGGACCTGGTGAGGCTGTGGGGCCACACCTCCTCATCAGTGCAAATGGATTGTGATCGATTCTCTCAGCCAGATTATAACACAGCTACTCCCCACTGTCAGCTCTTCCTTATCTACTTGCCCACCCTCTGCTGCCCACTAAGGGTAGAGGAACAAGGGCAGAATTTTATCAACCGCTTTTGGCCCTTGGTGAAATGAACACTTTGCATTTCTCCTTTAATCGGTTTATGTAGAGGGTGACAAATTTCCCTGGGTTGACCCTGTAATAATTCCAAAAGCTCCCTCCCTCCCTCTTCCCTGTGGTCCCCAGACTTCTTCCCCTGCCTCTTCTTCCTCATTTGAGCCTCCTTCAGAAGAGGGGAGGTGTCACAGATGCCCTGGGAGACGTTAGCCCAACTCCAGGGATCGCTCAACAGGGGTGAGAAGCGGGGGCTGCTCCTGGGCTAAGAACGGACAAATACTTTCCCAGGAAAGCCTGCGTCCTGCCTTGGGTCACAAACTCCAAGGTCATCCAAAGAAAAGTGGGCTTTCTACCCAATACTCCAACAAATGGCTCAGGTTCTCCTTGGGAAAGGAGCCAGAATCGAGCGAATTGAAATTCTTGCCCTCTCACCCCTAAACTTAACTCCTGCACACCACGAGGGGGAAACATCACCCAACAATGTTGCTTGTACGTCTGAATACTCGGGGGTGTCTTTGTTTGTTTGTTTTTGGTACTGGGGATTGAACTTGGGTCCTTGCGTTCTCAAGGCAGGTGGCAGAACCACTGAGCCAAATCCCTGGCCCTGAATACTTTTTTTGTCCTGGCACTCAGACTCACAACAGACTGGCAGGCGCTCACTCCAGCAGGGACCCCCAATACCTTCTCCCTCCACCCCCACTGCAGTCCCGCAGGACAGGCTGCATGAGAGACACAGAGGGCTAACAACTTGGCCCAGGTCCCACTGCCAGTGAAGTCTGACAGGGTGGGTAGTTGTTGTAAGGGCCTCCAATGGCCCCTGTTGGTGTGACACTCAGAATCCCTTCCACGGCGCCGGCCGCAGGGGTGCTGCTAACACTTGCATATGTGCGTGCTGGACCTAATTTTCAACCCTTCTGTTCTCACCCCCAGAAGACCCCGCATTCCTGCCTGGACCTACACTGTCTGGCCTCCCCCATCCCAGCCCCAGCGGCACCAGAGCCACAGAGCAGCCTAACATTCTAAGCAGGAAATTAAAAAGGGCATGGCAGAGGAGCCGCCTAACCTTTACAGCTCCCTCCTCCCTGCTCCTAAGGGACGGGGAGGCAGCCTGTTTGTCTAATGAGATGATCCCCTTCTTCCGAGCCAGCACTGGGGCCACGGGGTCAGGATGCTGGTGACACAGGCACAGGCACCAGGTCCTAGTCTCTGCTCTGCCTGCCTTGGAGGGAGGTTTTGTATCAACGTCAAGGAGAGAACAGCTACTGATCCGCTCCCGCCTCAGGGGATGGGAGATTAATGAGAGAACGTTTGTCAAGTTTGCTTTGATCCTCACTTGGAAAGAGCATTTCAGCCAAAAGTACAAGGGAGATGATTCTTTAATAAGATCTTAAGGGTTCTCAGCCAGCTGCAGTCCTGTCCTAGCTCTAACCATGAGCCGCTCATTAAAACCCAGAGGCGAGAGCCCTGCCCAGCTCCCTCCGCTGTGGTCAGAGTGGCCTCTTCTGCCCATCCTGGAGGGAAGAGGCCCAACAAACAACAGGTCCTTGAGGCCCAGAGGGATTTCTAAGGACTTGGGGGGCCCCCAGCAACTTCAGGAGCTGGGAAGGGCAGGGAAGGGACCTGGCCCTGGGTGGTACTGCTGTTGCAAGGGTGACAGCCCCTTCACCTGCTTCTTGTCCTCAGGGCCAGGACAGCAGGACCCTGCTGCACAGTCTGTCCACGGGGCACCTGGGCCCAGCATGCAGCCAAGGGTGCTTAACATTTGTTCTTCCAATGAATCAGGGCCAGGGAGGAGTCTGAATCCAAGAGTGGAAGAGTAACTACCCATCAGCAAACCCTCACCCAGTGCTGTAAGTGCCCAACACCGTACTAAGTGCTTCACAAATGGTGTTTAGCAGCAACCTGCTGATACGGGCCCTGAATAATTATTACATCTCTAGTCTTCAAAGGTAAAGAGACAAAGGAAGGAACTCACACAGGCAGGTGGTGAGAAAGCAAGGCCTCGACTTGACCAGCTCCATCACCAGAGGTGCCACTGTGTCCCCAGTCCCCAGATGTCCAGTCTTCCGCTCACCTTGGCCCACACCACGCCCCCTCCCAGGCATGGTGGTGCAGAGGAGGACCTGCATTCTTTGGTTTGGTTGGTTTTTTTTTTCCTCAGGACCTTGCACTTACCAGGCGGGCGCTGGTACCACTGAGCTACATCCCCAGCCCTTTTATTTTTTACTTTGAGACAGGGTTTAAATTGCCCAGGCTGGCCTTGAAGTTGCTATCCTCCTGCCTCAGCCTCCACAGTCCTTGGGATTACAAGTGTGTCATCACATCTGGCCACTAATAGATTTTCTAATGTTTAACCATTCTTGCATTCTTGGGATAAACTTCACATGGTTATAACATCATTTTATATATTACTGATTTCTGATTGCTAATTTTTTTGTTATTGTTGTTGTTTTGTTTTGAGACAGGGACTCACTATGTAGAGACTGACCTGGAACCCACTATGTAGCCCAGGCTGGTCTCGAACTCACAGCGATCCTCCTGCCTCAGCCTCCCGAGGGCTGGGATCACAGGTGTGCACCATGACGCCCAGCTCCCTGATTGCTAATATTAAGATCTTTCTTACAACTACATTTATAAAAGACATTGACTTATAATTTTCTTTGTCTCATTTCTGGACTCATAAGACTGAAGTGCTTTGAGAAAGGTCTGTAAGCACAAGGACCCGAGTTCG